AACCTTCTTAAAGGAAGAATCAGTGAGATTCTTTTTGTGTGTCTTACTTCTCTTCCTAGCTCTTGTAACTCTCACACCATCAGACGCATAGTAAATGCTCAATAAACGTTAGCTGCATAGATGAAAGAATCCCCCGAACTCTGAGAGATCACCCTCACTTATTAAATAGCTCATTTAACATTTTTTGCCTGCCTGCAGAATAGGCCGAGTCCAATGAGTGCGGTGGCAAAGGGGACTCTCTAAGACCAGCAGCTCCCTGGACTCGCTGTGCTATGTATTCCCGAAGGCCGTGCTTCTGTAAAGTACCGGATCCTGGTGCTGGGATCCTCTAGGCGTTCCACCATTTCACTGCCTTCACAAGACTTTTGTGAGCTTTACTAAACTACTTTGTCGTTCTATGTTCCCAGCCAAGGTTTTGATAAGATCTAAGGCCATATCTATGGTTCCTGGACAATCTATTTTCCAGAACTGTTATTCACTGGTGGCATTTTTAGTCTCTAGTTATTTCAAGACCGACACATTCTTCTATCTTTTTGTAATTATTAAAGTGTAAGTGTACAATTATAATTCTTCATTCCTACAACACTTCTAATAATACATGCCAGTAGTTTTCAAGCACTTTTATATAAATTTTTTTTTTTTCTAAAACAAATCTAGTGCAACTACATAGCTGGGTGGTCCTGGTCCGAGTGGCAGTGGGGTCCCACCGCCCCCCCCTCCGCAGGGCCTCTGTGGCCCTCGCACAGATCTCTAGCGCTCTGTAAAACCCGGTGTGAAAACCTCTGGTCTGTAATCTAGGTCACAGTAAATAACAGTGGCTTGCACTTTACTTCCCAAATTCGGTTCGTGCGTATTATTAAGTCATACCTTAAATGCACCTGGAGCCCATCTTGCTTAAAAGAACCTTGATGTAAATTCTTACCTATAGCGATTAATCACAGCTTGTTCTATTCATTTTTAAAGTTCAGATTTTAATGCACTGAGCTTTCTTAAATCGGGTGCCTAGGCAGGAATAAAATCAGTTCCATTTTGGCCAGTCTTATGAAAAGCAGCCCTGTCTCTCCCTTCTGTGCCCTCCTTAACCAACAGATGTCACTAAAGATACCACTACCCAGAGGCAAAGGGAAGAAGAGATTAGACAAATGGAAACTGAGCATAAAAAACATCCAGTTCTTAAAACTGAGAAGTAGGTTTCCAAAGTAATAACATTTATTACACCGCATGCAACATTTTAACCAAAAATTTAAGAAAGGAATTTCTTTTATTAAGTTGCTCAGGCTGAACGGATCATAGCACTAAGTTTTGAAATACATGTTCTTGAAGCAATTTAAAACTCATTAGAAATAATAGGCTTGGGCTAGTAGAAAATGTGGTAAAATTTAATCCTCATCCAAATGTTACCTGGGCTGTACAAACAGGAAATTGTTTTGTGCTACTGTGGCTAACCTCGCTGCTGACCCGAAGCTGTAACGGCCAGAGCAGCTGAGAGCTGAAGCAAAATTAAAAACTTACATCAAAGTATATCATGACAGAATGTAGATAAATAAAACAGCATATCAAAAGTATTATTTTTTCTGCCAGTCTCACTGAACAGGGAGGTGGAGGTATGCCACAAATACATAACCAACCAGGTGCATCTGGCAATGAGCGCTTCCCCCCGACACCGCCCCATCACCGACTACCCAAATGCTATCCAGGAGAGGTGAGGACACCCAGGAAGACACCCAGGGAGGACGGGGACAGACGGGATCACAGAACGTTCCGGCCTCTTTCCTCCACGGGCTTCCCCCTCCTTCAGCTTGGCTTACCAAAGAAAATAGGCTGCCTCTCCTGTATCCTCCCAGTCACTGTCTCCCTCACCTTCCAGACTCCTGGATGGCACCCCACGATCGACCTCCAGTGAGCTACTAGAATCTCCAGAGGTGACAGTGTGGGGGATTACAGTGCTACGGAAGGGAGAGACAGACGACATTGGCTTGGCTAATGGGGGGCCAGTGCGGGCATCAGCGAAGGCTGAGAAACGTTTTTCTATCATTCTATGTAAAGTGCATGTGTCAAAGTCACTGGTGACAAAGTTGAAGGACATTTTTCCATTGAACCTTTGGTTTCCCTTCAGTTTTAGGATAGCGATCACCACACTTAAAAAAAGAACGGTGCTTCGTCATACACATCCAAGGCACCATCTTCCTTCGGCACTCCCGGGCGGCAGTGAGGAATATGGAGACACGTGTGTGGAGTCACGCGGGCTGTCAATGAAGTTCCACTTCATCCACGTGTAGCTATGCAGTGCCTGGCAAATCTCTTAACCTCCACGAGCTTCGGTGTCTTCGCAGAGATAATCACAGGAGCTAACTGGTCTGAGGGCTTTTCATGCATATTTTAATGGAATCCTCATAACCACCTGCGTTGAAGGTTTTTTCCTCTTCCCCCTTCCCTTCCTCTCTTCCTCCGTCTCTCTCCTCTTGTTCCTCCTCCTACGTAACCCTTTCACAGCCATCTTCCTCACCTTTTGCTGCGATACCTCTGTCTACGTCAGACAACCTGACAGAAGACAGGGAACTTCTGAAGCCCATGGATTTGGCATTGTTCTCAGACTCCTTCTGGTGCCACCTGCCGTACACACATTCTGTGCTAGAGAGAGACCCAGGAACACCGTAAGAGGAAGAAACCACTGCTCTTATCGGCCCCACTGCAGCAATGAACGAGCCCCGAAGGAAAAATTACACTTAGTGAAGGAAACTGGATCCAGAAAGAGGGGAACGAAAGATGCAGTTAGGACTGGTAACAGGAATCTAAGATTCGGAGAGTTAAAGCTCTACTGACTACTAAGACATTCTTACACGTGCATTGTTTCGTAATGGAAAGTAGTAGAATAGTATTTCCTTTTAAAAAGCGAGGAAATGGGAACTCAGCATTTGTTAGGCGGAAGGCAGCAGAGCAGCGTGGTTCAAGTAGGAGGCATCCCTGAGCAAAAATGTGGCGTGGTCAGTGAAGCCTTGTCCTAGGAAAGCTGGCTCGAGGGCCAGGGGACAGCTCTGGACCAAGGAGAGGCATATTCGCCGAGTACCACTGCCACGTCCCGGCCGGTGCCAAGTGCTTCACCCAGACCGGCTCAGCCAACCACCTGTAATTCTCACCAGACAGGGACGGAGATCAGTAGGTACTACTAGTCACTATAGTTGGTCCTCCACATCCATGGGTTTTGCACTTGTGGATTCGACCAATCGTGGATCTACAAAAAAATTCCAGAAAGTTCCAAAGAGCAAAACCTGAATTTGTCACGTGCCGAGCACCATGCTGCATCCACGCGAACGAAGCCTACGTGCTGTAGCATAGGCGAGCACAGGTTCCACGCGAATCCTACGCCATCTTACACAAGGGACTTGAGCATCCGGGGACTGTGGTATCCGTGGGGGTTTGGAACCAATCTTCCGCAGACACTGAGGGACAGCCGTATTCTTAATTTTACTTATGAGACACAACTAAGGATGAAGAGGTGTAGTGTCTTCGCTGAAGATTGTGGAATTTATAAGAGTTGGTACTAGGACTGGTACTCAGGTCTTTTCGTCTCCCCGAAGTATGCTTTTTCTAAGGTACCATGCTTTTAGAAAAAGGTTCAGACATATATCTTTGTAGAATAAGATACTAAAAGAATTAGTATACACCGGAAATATGGCAAACTGTACTGAGGATATTTTAAAAGGGTCCATTTTTACCTTTAGGAGGCAAAACATATCTACTTTACATGATTCTAATGTGTCCATTTTCAAAAGATGCAAAAGTTGTGGCAATGTAGTTGCTGGTACAGATGAAAATAAGAGAGGGCAAGTTTACCGTCTTTAATTAGGCGATTTCTGTAGTTTCCATACACTTACAATCTCAAACTCTAAAAATCAAATGTACGATTGAAACTACGCATTTTTGACCGAGGCCTACCTACAATGTATACAGATCAGAGCCCCAGAATGTGCTCTGAATTGAAGTACAAACAATTTAAAGCTGTTTTTCTGCTTTTTTTTTTTTAAAAAAATAGGCTTTTACTTTTTAAAAAAGTAATATCCTTTTAACGTACACACACACACGCGCGCGCAAAATAAAAGAGCTTTACGGAATTTTGTAAAATCTGTTTATAGGCACTCAAAAGGAAATATGAGAATCACAGGCAATTTTTGGGACCGAGTATGTCTGGGGTTGACTACTGATTTGGGAAAGTGAGAGCAGACAGGCGAAAAAGAAGGGGGCACGAGGCGGCATCTCTCGAGGAGACGCACACGCACAGGGCCCAGGGCGCGGTCGGTGTCCCGTGAGTGGCAGAGTGGGGAACGAGGACACCGAGCCATCCTGTCCCCACTGCCTGGCTACAGGATGGTCACAGAGATGAGAATTTCTCTGATGAAGCTGTCGGAGATGGTCGCAGAGATGAGAATTTCTCTGATGAAGCTGTCGGAACTGTTACGTATTAGGGTTTATGGTAGTTCTAAGGCCCGATTCGAACCACTAACCACATTTTTTGACTATAATTGAATAGGACGGTCTCTACTGTTGAACCCCGATTCCAGGGGTGTAATGCCCCAAAGTCCCTATATTACAGTAGTTACTGCTCTTTACCAGGATATTTTTTTCCAAAATTCAGTACTGGTGACATACTGGTCTCAGCATTCCTTAGCCCAAGATAGCAAACTCCCTGATGTAACTTTTAGCAATTTTGAATACGCCATAACTTTTCAATATTCTTCCTAGCGTATTCCCTTTGCATACTTATACTGCAATTTTATCCAAAAGAAATTCATCAGGTTGGTCAGGAATGATTTGTAGTGAAAGGCACGCTGCTTACTTCTCCTGATGCCAACATGATAGCTACCTGGCTTTTTGCGCTCCTGTTACCCACGTCGCAAATGCATATAGATATGAAGTTCAAAATAACAAAATAACTAACATCTTTCTTTCTTCCAAAGAGATAAAGTTATATTGCAGAGACAAATATGGAAAAAGATACTCACCGTAAGTGCAAATCATTTTACTAGCTTCTCTGAAGAGAAGAATTCCATTAGGAGATGATACATCAAAATTCAAACGCTGGGATCTAAGAAATATAGCAAAAAAAATTAGACTATACGCGTAGATAAAGAAACCAAATATAGGTTTAAATGCTTAGCATTTTCATTTATTAGAAGCAGCAGCAGTACAATTATCACTTTTAAGAAGTGTCATTCCATTAAATAAATGTCGATAAAATATGTATGCTAATTTTCTCATTACGCATACTAGGACGATTAAGAAAAGTTATTTTCATTCATTTGCCGATTCCATGATTTCGCTTTTTACGTGTCAGAAGAATGTCCTGATGTCCGTATCATAGGCCTCTTGGCCTTCTCCTTTCACGCGACGTGGCTGACAAGAATTAAAAAAACCTGGATGTGCATGCGTAAGTTTATATAGCTACTCTGATAGAGGTTTACCTCTGAGGCCTCCCGCGGCGACCGAAGCACAACTTAAAAACAAATTCTGAAGTGACAGATGAGAAGTCTAGGTAACCTTTAATACTGCGCATATGCATAATGAATCACCTGATACTTCAGGCAGATTTCAAACATGAAATTACATACAGACTATAGTCTCTATTGCACACAGCTCAAGTAAAGAGAAACAAATCCCAGAAGTTCTAAGCGAGAATACATCTACTGCCCTGGTTCCTGACAGGCGGGGGAACAGTATGAGCAGAGCAAAGGACCGACATGCCAAACTGATATCTGCTTTTTTACATCGCTTTGCCTTCAACTGGCTCTAACACGCCTTGCCGCTGTGCTTTCAAGAAATAATGATACAGTTCTAAAAGGATTAGCAAAAAAAATATGAAACCAGGTCAAAGAAATATCAAAGAGCAAAGACATTTGCTGAAGTCTTGTTTTCCAGGAACAGAAAATTTTTGCTTCTCCATGGTTTTTCAAACTGCATTAGAATTAAGTGCAATTGTAACTTGTTAGGAATATGGTGAATATTTGATTTTTGGTATACAATTCTTGATTAAAAAAAGAAATGTATATTCGTAATTCTAGAGAAATATTAGATTCTAGAGAAATATGACAAGATAACATTTTCTGCGATTACTGATTTTCACTAGGTTGTCATTAGGATAACTGTGCTAGATATAAATTATCTACCTATGGCACATAGAAAATACGACATACAATGCAATGATGTTTTTCCTTTAGTATTGAACATTATAGCAATATTATATAATATCAATTACCTGGTTGAAAAAATTATAATTGAATAAAAACTACATTTCTAAGATGAAATTTCTGATATGTCACCTTTCCTTTAGTATTTATGTCACCTAGGAGAATGGTTTTTAAAAAACCTAACAGCTTTCACAAGAATAGTACTCACATTTATTCTCCAGGTCTTTTTCCAAAAATTTTAAATTATTGCTGTGAAAAACTCGGCCCCAGAGATAAAATTAGAGCTGCAATCCATATTCCTTCTCTGTCTGGATATCTCCCTTCCAGCATGCGGTTTACCAAGAGGAATTGATGAAACAGGATGTCTAAGTGACAGGTAATTTGGCACTAAGCCATGTTCGCAATGACATATTTTAAAGAGGTAAACCAATGAGCTTATTGCAGTTTTTCTCTTTTAGTTACATCTTCGTTAATACTTGTATGCAGAGTCTTTGAATCGCCGCTGGTCTATGCAGATTATAAGGTCAACTAGGCAATTTCTGAGAGGTGCTGTAGTTGCTACTTAAATGAAAAGTGTGAGTGCACAAACCATCCACATACACGTGTCTTGGCACAGAAGAAGAACTCAGAAGCCAAAGCAAGGACAATCCCCAGGGCTCCTGAGACCAACTCTGTCCCGAATCGCTCCGTGACTCAGTTCCCTTTTCCATAAAATAAAACGTCTCAACTCAGAGACCTCTAAACTTCTTTTTTTGCTTTAAAACTCTACAGAATTGCAGTTAAGCAGAAAAAGTTAAAATAGCTGCCTTTCCTCCATTTTGTGCCTCTGATTATTATAATAATGGTGGCTGTAGTCTTCCATTTTTTTATAGTTCCCATAATCCTCATATATACCTAAGTATACTATAGTCCTTCTTTGTAAAGAACTCAGCCGACATTTCTCATTGTATTGCTTTCACTGATCATCGTGTTTTATTCCTGGGTTCTTGCTAAGCCTTGAATATACACACACGAGGCCAGCAAATTCGGATCTCCGGAGATTGCTGCCATCTAGATTGTTTGCTCACTCTGCCGCCACAGCTCTCACCTGTTTTGCATTAATTCTGCCATGAGTTTTAAGATGGGAGTTGTGCATGCTGGCTCTCCATGCCACCGCTCAACGGCCCTCTGAAGAATGGGGAGATATGCTGGGTACCTTTCATAAATCCTGTTAAAGAATTTAAGGGTCAAAAGAAATAGTTTCCTGAGAATGAGGGCCACTTAAAAAGAAAAAAAAAGGAATCCGCATTTGTTCCGTGTTTTGTAGATAATGGTGATCTTAGAAACTGCTCTCCCTAACCTGAACAGCTCTACCTTTTTGGGAAGGCAAATGAGTTGCTCTTATTTGTAACAAAGCCCATATATTATGTTGCTTTATTCTTGGCATGCTCCATAAATAAAAGATACACTGTTGAAGTATCATATAAGTAACACATTTAAATAATTATGCTTAATATTGTAGAAAAGGAAAATAAATTTAGTTAATGAGGATAAAAACATTTGAATTATTATCAGAGTTTCTTGGGTATCAAACTATGTAAGGAATAATGTTGCTCATTATGAAATTTTAAAAATACATAAAAGTAGAAGGAAACAGTAATAATAAACCCCATGCATCTATTTCCCAGCTTAGAAATTACCTACATTCTTTTTTTTTTTTTTTTAAGTTGTTGATTTGCTCTGCTTGGTCCCACTGTGGGGACACGGGGCACATTAGCGTGAAGAAAAACTGGGTAATTTTTTAATCTATTCAGAGTCGGTGTCACTAAGAGGTATTCCCAGGTACCTACATCCAAGGAAGACTTCTCAAACGTGCTCATCAGTACTAAGGAGCGTATGCCTCTGAGAAGCCAGTGGCCGAGGCCGTCGGAACCTGGAAAACTGACTCAGTTCGACTAGCTCTTTGACCCGTTAGTAACTGGTCTGTCTCCTCCCTGCCAAACAGACCCACAAATACAAAACAGAGGCCTGAAACTACAGCAAAACAAACCAGAACACGACTCTTAACTCTACCATCACCTTCATTTCCTTCTCGTTTTCCTAATCTCTAAGCCTCTCTGTTTCCGACGTTTTCCAACGTACTTGTCTTTTTGCTTCAGATGAAAAGTGCTGAACTGAATCATTTAAGGGCGTTTCTTTTCTGTGTGATATGGGTCGGTTGAACTCTCGTGGTGGAAAAGATCACAATTTTCTTGCCTGCTCTTAGAATAAATTTCAAATTCCTTAGTATGGCCTACCAGGCCCTTTAAGGTCCGGCCCCTGCCTACCTCCAGCCGCCATCTGCTGGTTTGCCCGCCCTGCCTATGGTTCAGCCCTTCTTAATTCCCCACAAAGCCCCCGATGCTGTCTCGTCTCCATCCCTGTATCTGCGAGCTCCCCGACTCCAGCACCGTGAGACTTTCCCTATTTTGTCGAAAGCCGTCAATCTCTTCTTCACCTACATTCAAAGAGCCCTCTGACCATAACAGACAGTATTAGGGCTGTTGCTCAGTTATCCGTCTGCTCCATGGCATAGTGCATTTCTGAAGGGCAAACGCCTGTGCTTCCCTACTATGCCCTATTAATTCCTGTTTGTCCCTCAGATTTCAGTGCAGATGTTGGTTATTCCGAGAAGCTTCCCTGACATCCCCTCCCATGCCTGAGACAGGTTGGGCGTGTCTCCTGCACGTGGAGGTGTACGCTGTGCTAGTGCTATCTTGGCACTTTATCTCTTCTGTTATATTATACGCTATTTGAAGGCAGGACCTAGGCACTTACTGTATGCGCACACCGGGCACAGAGTGGATTTAGATAAACATTCGTTGCTGTAAACTTGCTAGCCTGAAAATGAGGAGTAGCGTTATCTGAGTGAAGCTACCTGTTTAATTCTTTTAAACGGTGCATTTCACGTTCGAGCTTCGGGAAATAATTCACATTACATTCCACGAAAATAAGCCCTCTAATACCTTAAGAGTGACATGCTCCTTAAAAAAACACAAAGCAATACTTTTCTCTCTTGAGACATACCATGTTAGGCTGCATTTGTTAATATTAAAACAATTTACTTAACAAGTATTTATTGAAGGCCTATTCTTTAACTGTCTAGTCACTGTTTTAGACTCTCTGGAGATACCAGTGAACCAAACAAAAAATCCATGCCCTCATAGACTTTATATTCTAATAAGAAAAGACAGAAAATAAACAAGATAGATACACAATATGTTAGAAGGTACTACAAAGGAAATAAAGCAGAGACGGGAGAGGTTATATGTGTGAGGTTTCAGCTGAATGAAAATGAAACAAATAAAATCAGCGAACTTGATGATTAACTCTATTTTGGCTGTTGTCAGAGAATTTACTGTTTATTTTTCTACGGACTAGAAAAACGGTTATTTTTGATAGATGGTAGATACTACGTGCTAAGTACTGTGCTAGGGGCCAAGGGTCCAGAGGTAACTAAGACATGGCTTTTATTCCTGGGGAATTCATGCTTGCGTCGGGGTGGACACATGATAGGGATGCTCCGAGTAGCAAAATTCCGAAGCAGTGGCAGAGGGCACAGGTAAGAAACCACTCCACTAAGAGATTTCACGAGCACAAACTCGATGATCATTAGTGGCAAAGCACCTGGAAGGCTCATCAGAAAACTGAAAAGACCCAAATCTCAGAATCTAGGACTATCGGGAGCACGCGAAGCCCTTTCCCAAGGCGTTCCGAAGGCCCTGGGACCATCGCAGTTTTCAGGGCACGCTGCGTTCACCGTGGGATGAGGCCGGGGGATATTGAGGGGATGCCCCCTTTCCTGTGTGGAATGACAGTGGTGCCAGCTCTAATATGCTTCTGACAGAGGTGACTGCCACCGAGAAAATGAGTGATATTGGAAAGCAGAGAAGAGGTCTACCAAGCAGGGAGGTTAAAAGGGCTTCGGAGTGAGAGTGCCGGGTTCAGATTACAGGCTGAGCCTCAGAACCCGCGTTAGGAGTTTAATTTTCCACTGGCTTGCGAGGGTTACTTACATACGGGCAGGAAGAAGACACTGGGCGCCCTTAGGTAGGAGGGGCACAGATAGAACTGCTTTCACCTAGGTCTCCTCAATGAATTCCTAAGGCCCACACCAGATAAATGAAAAATCAAAAGCATTAGGATACGATATTACCTTATGAGATGTCAAATATGAAAAAAATGAAAAGCATGAAGTTTGCTTCTTGACAACAGCCAGCCAGCCACCTACCTACCCATCCACCCATCCACCCATCCATCATCCACCCATCCAGTAGTTAACAGTACTTACTATGAGCCGGACCCCTCCCCTCCCTTGAACAAGAAATAAGTAAAAACATCATTCTTTCCTTCTGGGATTTCACAGTAGAGAAAGCATCATAAGATAGAAGGCAATGAGAGTTTTTGTTAACACTGCGAGGAGATAAGGGTGTGAGGATGTGGGTCCAGAACAGAAATCGCCTGCCAGCTCGGAGCTTATTTTAAAGCTTTCCGTGAATGTGAAATCTCGGTACCTTCGTGCGTGTAGGCAAATGCTGCTGGAAGCCTCTCCTTTCTGTCTTGCAAATCCCTGTCTGTCCATCTTCTAACACCTAGTTCAACTTTCACTTCCCTGGGAAGCCTCTTCTTTTTGCCCAAAACACCAATCTCTTTCTCTCATATGTTCACACGGTCCTTTGCATACATCTTTGTTAAAACACACTGATTGTTTATTAGTTATTTGTTACATCCGCTTGTGAGCTTCTAAAGAGCAATGTGTTTTACTTGTTCTTACAAAAAGTGATCCTTTTATTGATTTCTCGTGCCTGGCACTGAGCACTCAAAAAATGCTTGCCGAACAGTGATTTTTCAAGTTTACTTTCTTCCCTATTTCTGTTTGTCCAGCATACTGATGATTACTTTCTTCTTGAAATGCAATTCTGATTTTGTTAGTCAATTAAAACAATCAATTGCTTTATACTACCTATGGAAAAAGGCTCTAAATTTCTTAGCCTGATATTCAAGGGTCTCAGACAATCTGCATTTCCAATCATGAAATAAATGGTATCTATAAAAAACATCTCCTCTACTCTCCTCTCTAAACCTGTGCCGAGGCCAACTGAAAGGCGCTCACTTTGTAGTTCCAATAGTCCAATCCTACCTATTTGATAAGAGCCGAAGAAATATCTTCACCTTTATAGAGCCGTTCCTGACTCCCCAGCTAACGCCATCTCTCCATCTGTATCTTTGTTATGGCACTTACCACCTTCTATATTTTATTATAGTCATTAATGTAGGTATCGACGTGACTCTACCAAACTATAAGCTTATTTTGGGGTAGGATCTGATTCAAAGTAATCTACACCCCTCATGAAACCTAACACGGTCCCTGCGAAATGTGCTGAGTAAGCGAGCAAACAGGACTCCTTTGTCTCATTCCGTATTTTAGGGAAAGGAACTAAAGTGACAGCGGCAGAGAATTTACTTTGTGCCAGACACTGTACGAGGCTCTTTATATATATGTCAGTTCGCTCCTTACGACAGACCTGAGAGATAGGTAGGTAGTATTGGCCTATCGGGGTCTTGGCTTGTCTTTGTACAATTTTTTATGCATATTAACAAACAGAACTGATGGCCTGATTGAAAAACAGTGAACTCAAAGATCAGACTACGATCATTAAAAGACTGACTATGAAGAAATAGCTTCGTACACATTCCTTAATTTTTTTTTTTTCAATTTCCCTCTGGATTTTTGATACTTCAGTCTAAGAATAATCTGGGAAAAGTTTAAACAAGGTGACTTCATACACTGAGAGGTAAGGTGCTTTCATACTGTTGCATTCTCACTATAGGAGCAAAGAAGTATATCAGGGAGTCTTCAATTCTCCCGTAGTGAAACAATTTATCAACATGGTTGCTGTGTTGTTTCAGGCAATTTAGTTTTGGAGGGACAGAGTGATGAGCAATGAAGTTCGTGTAGCAGTTAATGCAGTCAGTATTTATAGAAATGTTTTTGAATTAAATAGCTAACCACTAAAATAGCATTTTATCAAATAATCACCATAAATAAAATGCATTTTGACTTTAAGATGACATGTGCTCTTACAGAATGTTTCTTCTGCATGCTAAGGACTGTATAACAAATTAAAGAACACACATTTACGTGGATAAAAGGCAAATAAACTTTCCCCAGCCGTAATGTAGGAATCACCGTTGACGGTTTGACATATCAATATTTCAGGAAGAATAAATGACTTTCATATGCATGTTTTTTTTAATCATATACTTATTCATTCTTACATTACTGGAATACTTTGCAAAGAACCTGTACTTTATCACCTGAAACTGCTTAAAGTATTTCAAAATATTTTAATAAAGCTTTTTGAATTATCAAATAATGTAACTTTTAAACAAATCTTACTATTATTATAAATATTTGCTCTTCATCCCTGGCCCAAAGGAAAACTATAAATCTTGTCTCAACTGAATGAACACCATTTATCATATTCATTTTGTTGTCAATACAATTATGAAAAGCCTTTGGCCTTTTCCCAAGGAAGCTGATTTGCTACTGAAACTCAATTATTATAAGCAAGGCCCGTACCGAGCCACCCGTCTGGCAATCTAGCACAGCTTCCTGCATAGCTGACACTTCGGCCCCCATCCCTGACCCTAATAACATCGGCATCTATGGTCAAAAGGAGACAATGGTTTCTAGTTCAAAACAAAACATTAAATCCCAAGGTTTTCTGTTTGCTATTTTCTGCCACCTGCTGGACAAAAGTTTCACTTTAGCTAGGTGCCAAAAAGAAAGAGCTAAGTCAGGAAATGGAAAAACAGCCTTAATTAAAAACTCAAATTACAGTGTGTTCTATAAATTTTTGGCAGTACCACGTATGGAAGATATTTCTATTCTTTGACACCGAGGGAGAAGGTTCTGACCTTGACTCTTAGTTGAGATTGTTGATGAGGAAAACATGAAACATTAACTGCGACATTCCAGAGTTGTGGCTTGCTTTCAAGGTCACCATGTAAAGTGCAAAAACTAGGATGTTATGATTTCTCAAATAAATAAAACTTTTACTTTGTGAGCTTCTATTTCTGTTTAGAGAAATAAAAGGGTCATATGTAATTCCAGTTTCTCAATCACAGCTTAAAGAACTGTATGACTTTCCATGTTAAAATCTACAATCTCTGCACATGTATCTAGTATCCTGACATAAGGACGTACGTGATTCTCCATGACATTGTCTCTAACCTTTCTGTGGGCGCATAAATCTGATGAAGTAGGTTTTAATAGTAAAATGTAAGTCAGTGTTCGAATTAACGTTAAAATTTTAAAAAATGTGTACTTCCCCCCAAAACATGCCCAGAACCCCGACTAGTTACGTTTTTGGCCGTAACTGCGCCATCGGTAGTTGAAGATTGCCTTAAGGAAGTTTCTTTTGCAATTTATGAGGGAAGTTTGGATAAGAAGGACTTGAAAGGAGCAACTGAGTCACAGTGGAACTTAAAAATTACAATAGCTTTAAGGCTACAGAATTTTTCTCATGTGCTCTGATGATTTCATGCATAAAGGCATGAAAAACTTGATATGACACTTATATGACTTGAGGATCCACATAATAATAAAACAATACTATTAAAACAACATTGACCTTTCATGACTCTCGCACGTTTCAGATGTTACACAAACTGGGTCGCCTATTTCAATGGTCACGATGAGCCATAATACTGGATGTCTCCTTTTTAAGATGAGGAAACTGAGGCTCAGAGAGGTGAAATGACTTGCCAAGGTCTACACAGTCAATGAACAGCTGGGATTTCAAGCCTGGTCGCCTGACACCAAAGTCCATGTTCTTTTCCCTCTTCTATGATGATACATTTCTGTGGGGGATGTTTGTCTCTGTGTTTATTTTGCTGTCTGTACTAAGGCTTGGCAAAGGTGAACACATATACCAAATGAAAAATTCCGACCACTTATTTCCCCCTTTCTAGGTCCACTAATATTTTCACGATGATGAAAAACTGTAGCATGACGAATTAAGACTTAAAGAGATAAGGTGACCTTCTCAGCCCTGCTAATTGAGATGAAGGAGAAATTCGAACCTCCTCGAAAATGCCACATGGTAGGATTCACGAGTCCTGAGTTAAAGATGTTAGCCTGATTCCTCCCCTGGCCCCCAACTCCAACATAAACAATCATGTGGGGATGTGATCATTAACTTGTCAATATTTAATGACACCAAAAAAGTGACCTCTCTGAGCTGGTCTCCAAATGCTGTGCTCAGTTATCTGCTCTGCTGCCACTGTGCTGTAATTTTTAGCTGATTACACATTAGTTCATTTAGCTTTGTTTCCTCTTCCCTACTGTGCCATACTATTAAAGGAAAGCGAGGGGCCTGGCATCCCTCTGTGCACAGAGCTGGTATTGTCACAGTGTAATAAGGATACATCCAGTCAAACAGCATGGTGTAGCTGGTCTTTGTGTTCAGTGCAAAGGCAATCCCTCGAAGATCTCTTGCCAGCCCGATCAACATACGCTGTCAGTGGGAAAGAGACACAGTAATTGATTTTCACGTGAGCACAGAGCAGATGGAGTAATAATCAGGCAATAATGACCACATATCTGATTTTGATTCATTAGCTAAAATGTCTCGCTCAGATCCCTTTCTATAGAAAACCATAGACTCTTTAAACAAACAGACCATCAAACCTGCTGACCAACTCCACTTTGATTCTTATAAATTGAGCTAAGTTGTAATTCCAGTAGCGTAGGAACATGCTACTGTTTTGTTTCTGAATAATGCCAAATTAGAAAAATATAAAAGAGGATTGATAATTCCACAAAACAGAAATGCACAGGGTCTAGAGGTCTAGACATTATTTAATAGCAAACCTTAACCACACTGGCTCGCACGAAATCAGCCCCACTATGCAATTCGGAGTCTATCCTGGAAGCACAGTGGCATTTCGAGATCCCAAAGGAATATCCTTAGTGACTGAGGACAAAATAAAACTGGCCAGGCAACCTATCAGTAGCGTGACATACCCAGAGACGCACTGTCATTCCCCAAGCGAGAAAAAGGTGTAAAGAAAAGAGTTCTATATTCGATGTCGGAAGACTTGATTTTGAATCCAGCCGCGCTCCTTAGCTGTAAGTCTTAAAGGACGGTAGTTTATCAGTCTCAGTTTCTCATCTATGAAAGGGGCTAACAGTACCTCTTTCAGAGGCATTGTAAGGAATAAGTTTAATAAACTTATGTACAAATGCCCAACGAGAGCATTTTGGTACACACTAAAATTAAACATTGATATATTTTCAGTCAATTAGAGCACGTCTCCATAAATATTTAGTTTTAGAAAGAGAGAGAGAAAAAAAACTTGACTCTAAAAGAGATCTGACTTGTACTGTGGATGCTTAATTAAGCTGTCCTTAGGCTGATGCCTGGGAAGAGAAAAAGAAAACCCATGAACAGATGCTAGGATGTCAGAACAAAGAGCACAAATAAACATAACTGCAAAGCAAGGGGGGCGGATAATTGAGATATGCAACTGCGACTTCTGAAGATACTGTTTCAGGGGAAATATCTGCCAGAAAATGGTCTCTGAACTTTTCATTTGACCAGATTATTCCCCCCTCACGCTTCAGTAAAAAATGAAAACCTCTTTAGGAAGGTGTTTAAATCATCATTAGGGACCTGGAAATGAGTCATGACCCTCACCTTACTGGCTGAACAACATTTCAAAGTCTTAAACAGTTAACCTGTCAGAGGTGTCTATCGATTTCTGATCTTCCTGCCATTGCACCTACTAGGTGACTCATTGTAACTGGAAGTTGTTTATAAGGATACTCAGTTCCTATACTGTCTAACAGTTTACAGGGTGATGGTCATCTCAATTTCTGAATCTGTAAATCCTGAAGACCTGTTCCTGCTTCTTTAAATGACTTATTCTTTTCCCTCTCATAATCTCGCCAGTCTGTGTTTTTCTGTAATTGGCTAGTCTCCTGTATAGTTCTCTCATGTGACTTGCTATTTTTCTTAAAAAAACTATTTTGCCTTCTACGTAACCTATCTTCACTACCTGGAACCTGCCCCCTTTCGTGGCTTCCCATGCTTCTCACGGCCTCTAGAAAAAAAAAAAATAGATCTTCTAAGAAGCCATCTTTGAGTAATTCTGCTCTTGAGCATTTAGCTATGCAGTCTTTCTATTAAAGTGACCTTTTTGGTCTATTTTTATTACGTACACTTACAGGGTACTCTTCAAAAAAATCTTAAATTTTCACATATATATATATAAGGTACCCACCATTCGACTCTAAATTAATCAATAGGGACCATGAGTTTCACTTTCTTCATGTCTGCTGCAAAGGGCTCTCAAAACATTTTAGACTATCCTCATTACACAAAAAGATTAAAATTGATTTTATTACAAGTTTTTCTTCCTTCGAAGATAATAGACGTGCTCTAATTGACTGAAAATATATCAATGTTTAATTTTAGAGAATGTTACTATAGAGAGGAGAAAGAATATAACAACATAATAACTAAGTGTACGTTTTCGAAAGATTTGACATGAGCAGGAAAATGTGGCGTTAACGTTAAGGAACGGATTTCTTATGCTCAGGCAATATCTTTTGTCTCAAAGCAGCAAGAGTATCTGTGTAATAATCCACACAGATACTCATACAGCACTGAATACTTTCCTGAGAGCCAAAACATACCCAGTTTTGGCACGACACAGGAAACTTCGCCAGGAGCTCAACCCGGCTACGAAACAATCTCAGAGGGCGAGAGGTGATCTGGTTGAAGTTTTGGGGAGGAGGAGCCACGATTCACCATCTCATTTAAAAGCGTACGAAGGGGTTTATCGGAAAAGTGGCCTTTCTCCTACGGTTGGTCAACATTTGATTGACCGGACAAGCGAGCGGCTCCCATATTTTTAGCGAGGTTGTTTTGGGGAGGTGGGCAGGTCTGGGTGTCTGATCCTGGGGATTCCTTTTCAGATGGCTTGAGGAGAATCTGCTCCCTGCTTCAGTGTGCGGCGTGGTGAACAGTTGTCTGTGTGCCAAGTGTGAGACGGATGGTCTAGGAAGCAGCTGAACTGCGGCTCCTTCCACCCCGACCCCCAAAATAGGGTTTCTAATGGAAAGTCTGACAGACCCTTTACTGTAGTGGCACTACTGGGGGCAGCTATAATATTACCCTCATAATTCTACTATATAATAACAACAAAGAAAAAGAAGGTGAAGGGTCATTGTGCTTTGTCTTTAGAATTAAGATGGCTGTCTTCATCCTTACAGCATACTCTTAATTCTGGAGACACATCTTAATAACCTCTAAATAGTTCCAACAAAAGAGCCGTGTCAGAGGAATGAGCAGGCCCCAAGGTGTTTCAACTGGAGTGTTTTCATCTGCCTTTATTGCTCTATCCCTCTCCAGAATTAAGGCAATAACCTGTGATAAATTATTCAGGAACTGCTACAGGGATCAAAGCAAAATCATTCTGTTAAAGTGCTGTTTGCAACATTTGGCACTTAGTGCGAAAACTTTTAATGTGCGCATGCTGAAAATCAAGGATTTTAAATAATTTAACATTGTGGAGTTTATACGGAGGGACTAAAGATAGCAGGTTCCTATTTAACTGCTCCTCTTCCTCTGGTAAGTTTCATTCATTTTTCCTTAAAACCGATGACGTCATGGCCAAATCAAAAATGATGCATGAGTCAGGGGAGTATTTTGGACTACGGTTTACTATGGATACAATAATATGAGGGAAGAACATATATTTTGAACTAATGCTTCAGAGTCAGGATTTGTCACAGCATTTTCTTTCTTTCTTTTCCTTTACTTTGAAGAGAAAAACCCAAGACAAAAATTCAATGTTCTCTTCAATTTTATTAGGACTAAGTAAGAAAACAAACCTATAAATTTGAGAGTTTTGCAGCATTTCCTCCCCCTCGCAACCGTATTTCAATTTGGCAACACAGGTCCTTAATGTTTATGTTCATCCTAAAATCCGCATTTGAAAAATATCTATAAATAGGGAGTTAGAAAATCCTGGTAAGGGTTGCAAATTAAATGAATATAGCAGTCCTGAGGCATTTTCATAGAGATATTTTAACAGCATCACCTCCTGTGGATTGGAATACTAAATACTTTATTGAAGAACAAAACAGAACTGTTTTTATCTCTAGTACTTGCGAAATGAAGTACCTGAAAGCACTTTTGCATGTATTATTTATTCATCGTGATAGAAAAATAGCCTTAACCTAATAAATTACATTTAAAAGCATTTAGTGCAAAAGTTTTGTTTATGATAAAGCAACAGATTTAGTTCTTTACGGGTAGCTTAAAGCACCAAGTTTTCTTTATACAAATTAGACAGATGGTGCTTACAGTAGAATTTACTAAAGGTCTGTCACAACAAATGCAGCCAAGCTGCATATTTAATCACTGCAGAATCTTGTCTACCTGCAGCTGCCAACTGCTAATCCAATTTCCCTGATAAATGTGGCAAGAGACACGATCAGCAATAAAGAGCATCTAACTCCATTTTCCTGCAGGGCGTCTTTTGATGAACATTTAGGACGGAAGCGCGGAGTGCACTGTGTGGCCTTGGTTCGTGGCAGCTGCATGCATTCTGAGGCACAGTTCTCAGGTTACTCACTTAATTCTGCCACTATCATTACGTTGCTATTGATCTCGGTAGCTGTTGCCTACACAGCATTACTCTAGATGAAGCTGAATCAGGCAGTTATCATGCATCAAACTTGCTCAAAAGCCTGGAGATTTCCCCTTAATTACTTGTGATTTTATTTGCAAATACCGTTAAAGTGTAATCAAGCAGTCACTTTCCAGGGTCGTTAAGAACTTGCTGGTTTAGGGATATATCACTGGAACACCATTAAAAATGACTCTAGGAAGATGGTTTCTATCAAACTAGATGGGATTACATCAAAACGGGCTTGGAGCATAATGAAATCTTCAAATGAGACAAATGTAATTTTTATGAAGATGGTGGTTTTCAACTTCGCTTCTTTCTCATGTAAAGGGTAGCAATGGCCACCTTAAAGCTGCAGAGATCTTGCTGGTCACCAAAAATATTTGTAAAACACCTCAAAAAACACATCTAACCTGAGTAGAAATTCGGGTGAAGAATTTCAGCAAGACTATAAACACGAAGTCGGTCCCCATGATCCTTTTCGGTTTTACAATTCTGTGACAATCCCATGTTGATAAACGTTCATTTCAAAAACTCTATTTCAAATTAAAAGGTATAGTACTTGGCTAATTATTTTTTGGTAGAAGAATTATACTAAAATAACCATCGAAGGCCATCATTTTTCTAGTTGGCTTCTTGTTTTTTTTTTTTTTTTGGTAGAGAGAGGAGGAACCATTCAAAATGATGGTTAATATTTTCAACGTATTTCAAAGAGCAATAAAATATGACTCAGGCATCACCAACAAAGGTGCCTGCGTTCTCTGGAGTACATTTATTAGTCCCTTAAAAATAATAATCAGTGTCAATCTACTTAATACAGACCCGATATATTACAATTTCAGAAGATGCTATTCCTATTTAGCAGATCTTATGCTCCCCACCCTCCACATTAAAATATGGGGCTGTTTTGTCACAAACAGCTTGCTACACTTAAGGATTTTACTAATAAAACATAATGTTGTCTTAGATATTATGACTGTTGCCACAGCTGAACTGACTTGTCAAATCAATCCTAATATGGCTCCCACAGGCACATAAAAACCTTATTTAGCTATCAGTTATCCTAATCACTTTGTTCAGTTTAAGAATGCAATACTTCAAGCCCAGCTCCTATTTATACATATATGCCTAGCCATTTAATAAAGTCTTGATTTATATAAATTCTTGTTTAAAAAAATATTTAGAGACGTAGCGTTTTAGCATGTGTATGTTTGTGCGTTCCTCCATATAAACATGCTGAAACGTACAGGGCCGGGTAGATGAACAGAACGGGGAGGTTTAAGGTGGCGTACCCACGAGAAATGCTCTTTCAAAGATGCTGACTGCCACGAGAGACGAACCTGTGCCATCTAATCATCAACGGACTATCCGAACTCACCGCTGACCTCAAAGTGCATTTGTATAAGGAACTTCAGTACTTATATGAAACGTACGGCTCAAAGACACGTGCAGCCGGGAACGTGGGGTGGATGAGGCTCGGGGCGCACGTGCGCAGGCAGAGCCTTCTGCACCTAGGTATCCTAGGAAGGACAAAATTCTTTCCCCGTGCTTGGAAACGAACCCACCTTTACATCTTCTTGTTTAAAGTTGTTGTTGAATATTTGTAATATTGTTTCGAAAGAGACCGTCAGAGGCAGCATGAAATTCTCAAATTCGTCCTCATCTTCGCCTATCAGAAAAACAAAAGGGTGACCACGGTTTAAAACGTGTGCTATCGTATGTGAGCCTCAATCGCGAGAGCTCCGTTCAGGGTAGAAATGTTCTCGCGAAGGGGTTGGCCTGCAGTCACACGCAGGGCACATTTTGTGCTTTGGTTCATTGAATATTCTGGGGTTCTGCCTTCTCTTTTTGCACCAGATGAAACAGCAGAATTACTTACCAGCCATTTTGTTTTCCCCTGGCTCTTTACTGGACCAAACAGACTCGTGCCCCAGGCATCTCAGCCCCTCGGCTGTTAGGGGCCCCCAGAGCCACCCTGATGCCTCAGGAAGCGACTTTCAAAGCCTCAGAGACAAAGATCTTTTTTTCCCCTTCTCCTTGGGTGCCAAGACCCCGAAGGGCTCACAGACTCAGGTGCCCCGAGAAGTCTAAGTTATTATTCTTCTATTTATTATTTTGTTTTTAAAACTTAATTTGTTAAACAGAAAGCAGGGAAACTTTTATCTGCCAAATAGGATGAAGTACCTCGTGGGTCATTTCGATTTTAAGTACGTTCTCCATGGGTACATTTCCTCTTGTACTAAGCTTCCTTTTCTTTATAGAAAGGGAGAGACATTTTGTTATTATTTTTTTTTTTTTCTTTTTGACTTAAAAGTTAGACTACAGTTTTCTCAGGGGCTCTGCCAAAGCAGTCTTCACTTCACACGGATATGCACAACTGACAATTATATAGAGTATTCTTTTTAAAAGAGTTTTTCTTTCTAAATGAGAGAGTTGATTCTCATTCATCCTGTGCCACAGGGAACTAAGAGCCCCACTTTTACTGATGAAATAGGCAGAGAGAAGTTAGGTGACTTGCTCAACGTGGCATAATTTGGTCCTGCCTTCCTGATTTCTACCCTGTGTTTTAAAATAGAGCACTGAAGAGGAAACGAGATCTCAGAGAAGAGATCAGTGGTTCCCAAAGTTTGGTCCTTGACCCAGCAACATCAGTATCACCTGGGAACTCGTTAGAGTAAACTCCTGGCTTCCAGCCCAGATACACTGAATCAGAAACTCTGGGGTGAGGTCTAGTGATTTTTGTCTTAAGAGGCCCTCCAGGTAATTCAGAGACATGCAAATACTTGAGAAACAATGGCCTATACATCATTCTACAGACAAGGAAACTGAGGTCCAAGGCCACGTACACAGACCAACGGCAGAATCGGGATCTTTCGACTCGTAAGGATTGGCTCACTTGGCTGACCCTGATCTTTCGTGACTTCTCTTTTCCCTTTAACCTTACATAATTTGTTTCCAGAGTCCGAGAGAATCGGGGACTTGGCTTTGTTCACAACGAGATGTCAAAATGCTGAGTCTGTCCTGGTGTGCTGTTGGAGGCAAGGGTCAAGATCCCAGCCAAAGGGTGAGGCAGAACAAATTATAATCCCTGCTCCGTCGACTGGCTGTGCGACCAAGTTATTCCTCTTAGGCACGCCCTCTGTCAGGCGGTGACAACATCGGAGAGCTTTACAGAGCCATTCTTATTTTCCAAAGCCTGGTCAGATGATCACTTTCCCAACGTCTGAGCCAAGCTCCTCCACAAGTGCCCAAGGTCCCACCGCAAGTGTCCCGCCTTCCCACTTTGGTTTCACACGGCATTCTGTCTGACTGTAGATACCATTTATCAGAAGGCCTTAGATGGCGGGTATTTAGGCATATAGCTTATGATAACACTAATAATACCACCTACATCATTCCACCATTACCATCATCTGATGAGGGTTACTGTGGGGATTGAAGGAGATAAAGTTTATAACGTGTATGTAAATCATCAGGTCTATCGGCCTACACTGATAGTATCTTTGGCTTCGCTTCTGGAGAGCCGAGACTGTATCTCTGCATTTCTCAGTCAAAGAGAATGCCATAGGAAGGGCTCTGATAAACAGAACTCAGAACAGAGAGTAATGAACAGCCTTGGTGTCTGGCTTCCCCACATACTTCCCCACAGCTTCAGATATTTACCAGTCACTCTGAGTCTGTTTTCTCACCTACAAAATAAGGATGAAAATACCTATCTGTGAAGGTTATTGTCAATATTAAATCTTATAACACGTGAAAAATAGAAGGTGCTCAGTAAACAGCAGCGGTGATACTAGCATTTTAGTATTTGTACTGAGAACAGTGCCTGGCATGTATTAGAGAAATACTGTATTTGAATAGAAATTCGCCTTTATTGCACAATAAAGGTGAATTTTAAAACTCCCTTATTTAATAAGACACCTGATATAGAATAATGCGTTCACTGAAGTAAACGTTATCAAATCCTTAAATATGTAATACATTTACATTCTATTTAAACTATATAATTTCGATCCTCTAAGATGAAGCATTTTCTAAGTGTGCAAGTATTGACGGGAACACCGCAGGCTGACAAGGGAGCTGGAAAGATTGGGTGCCTGAATCCTGGCTCTGCTACTGCTAGCCGTCTGGTTTTGGATAAAGTCTCTTCACTCATTCAAACCTTCGTGTCCTCATCTGTCATTAAATAATATTTACAGTAGACCCCCCTTATCTGTGGGGTCACTTTCTACAGTTTCAATTACCCATGCTTAACCGAGGTCCAAAAACACGAAATGAAAAATTCCAGAAATAAAACGATTCATAAGTTTTCAATTGCGTGCTGCTCTGAGTCGCATGATGAAATCTTGTGGCATTTCACCCTGTCCCGGCCGGGCCGTGAATCATCGCTCTGTCCGGTGTGTCCACGCTGCAGATGCTCCCCCGCCCATCTGGCGCCAAGCAGCCGTCTCGGTCAGGGCCACTGTCACGGTATCGCGGAGCTCGTGTTCACCCAACCCTCGTTCTACTTAACAGCGACACGAAGCGCGGGGGCGGCGAGGCTGGCAAGGCGGATCTGCCACAGAGAAGCCGTGAAGTGCTTCCTTTAAGTGAGAGGTGAAAGTTTCTGACTTACGGAGGAAAGAAAAAAAATCGTATGCTGAGGCGGCTAAGAACGATGGGAAGAAGAAACCTATCTGTGAAATTGTGAAGGAGGAAAAAAATGTGTGCTCGCTTCGCTGTCACGCCTCGAACTGCAAAAGTTATGGCCACAGTGCCTGGTAAGTGCTTAGTTAGGATGGAAGAGGCATTAAATCTGCAGGTGGGAGACCTGCACGGAAAACGCGTCTGACTGACGGCCATGCTCTGCGCCAGGAAGAATCGAGCCAGTACGAAACGCTTCAGCAAGGGGCCGCCTGAACCGGGGGCCACACTCACATCTTTTCTTACAGTGTATTATTATAACTGTTCTATTTTATTATTAGCTATCGTTAATCTCTTTACTGTGCCCGATTTAGAAACTACACTTTCCCACAGTCATGTATGTATAGAAAGAAACAACATCTGCAGGGTTCGGTACTATTTGTGGTTTCGAGCATCCACTGGGGGTCTCAGAATGTATCTCCCGTGGATGGGCGGGGGAGGGGGCTACCGTACTTCATAAAGTTAGCTGTAAGGATTAAATGACAAAACATGTGTAAGTGCCCTTGCTCAGTGTCTGGCACTTAATGAAGGACGGCCATTAGCGTTTTTGTTGTTTGGAGTTTGACATGGACTTAGGCGATGATGGTGATCCAATAAAGTGTGGCCACGAGGTCCCTAGGCCGATAGCCTTCCGCTGGGAGCAAAGCTTTTCCGGGGAAAGCATAAACTCAGGATTTTAACATTTCCACCCTTTCCTTAACGTACTGAGCTACTGATCAAAAAACTTCCTGACTTCACCTCTTTCCTCAGTCAAATTTTGAGGCAAACAGGGACATCGGGAGCACAAGGGCGCGGCCACCAGAATGCGCAGGGAGAAGTCAAGGAGAAGATACCGAAGACAAACGTGAGCAGCGATTCTACTTAAACGTCACTTCTGCAGAAAAGGCCTCCACTGAGCACTGCACCTGAGATGGCACCGCGGTACCTACCTCCCGCCCTCAGCCACTTTCCAACCCTTATGAGACTTACGTAGTATGACTGGCTAGTAATTTACATATGTATTCGCTGCCCTCCCTACTAGAACACAAGCTCCTTGGGGAAGTGACCTGGTCTGTTTCGATCCTGGCCGTATCCCTACAGGGTGCTTGGTATAGCGTCTGGCACTCGAGGAATATCTGCATAGTGTCTGAATGAATAACAGCGGTCATTTCCTGAGTGCTGACTATGCGCAGGCAATGACTCTGGTGCTCAGTTTACGTAACGAACACCCACGCGGCTCTTACTACGTTTGACGCACTGTTGCATGTCATAAACTGTGTCCACAATCCTGTGAAGTTAGGTGATGATTTCCTTCATTCTACATGTGAACTAAGAGGCTCAAAGGAGATAAGCGATTTGCCCAATATCCTCCGGCTGATAAAATGTCAGTGAACTAGGATCCTCAACCAAATCTGCTTTGCTGCCGATCTCATGTTCTTCTCCCCATGTCTCTGTTGGAGTGGAAGGTGTCAGAGGTGGGGGCTCAAGTCAGGGTCACGGAATCTTGAGTCTGGAGCTGCACCAAAAGGGAGAAGAATAATCGACGTGGCTGGTGAGGAGAAAAATTCCTCAGCAGTCGTTCAAGGTTAAGGCAGGCGACGCCGAGACACCGGTGGCCTTATTCTGACAAGAGTGTTTGCCTTTCAGGTAGCACTGCTTCCTCTGTGACTGCGACGTGACGTGCTGTATCCTCCACGCTGCGAAGCTGCTCAATTCTGCTTACATCATGCGAACAACTTTATACAACACGTTACAGGCTGTTTCCTCATCTGTGTTATGACGTCATATTCAAATATGCAGACATATATTTAGTATGTCGAATGTATATGTGATCACTTTATAAATAATACTTGAATCTGACTTTTTTTCCCTAACAAGATGAGGGCCCAGAAACCAGTTTGATTTGAAGGCAAAGTGCCTGTTTATAGATTAATATTTTCAATGACATCGAGTAAAGTAAATATTAACATAACACTGTAAGTTCTCAGTCATGCGCAGATTTTAAAA